TTACTTGTGATGGAGCTCCAAGTATGAAAATGGTAATTTTGAACCATAATCAAAAGTAGGTGAATAAATTTAAACATTTTTGTCAAATATTTTCTATTGGAGGTACTGATATTGTGTCTTTGTGTTTTCGTCTTCTTGAGTCGAAGGTCTTTCGTAAACAGTCTCCCTACTTCGTCGGGGTAGGGGTAAGGTCTGCGTACACAGTACCATTCCCAGACCCCACTAGTGAAATTTTACTAGATTGTTATAGTTATTTTTGTCAAAGGATTTTAACTTAGGGAGTCTCTCCACTAAACGTTGGACCTCTATTAATGTCACGTACGAGACAGTTTGCACAATAATGGTGAAAATAGAAGCAAAGTATAATGACAGAAATATGAGGAAATTCATATGCAATAGAATAGGGCAAATTTGAAACTCTTTTTTTCAATTAATAGGACTTCTGACACACATACACACATTATATTGATTTTGTTAGATATCAAAAACTAAATGGTATCAAATCCACTATCACTCAATAGTTGCTTTATTCTCCTCAAATAATTAACTAAATAGGACTTCTTAATAAGTGTATTTCTTTTTAAATCTTGAGAAAGGCTGGATTGTACAATATTATAGCCGGATAGAGATGGCAGTAGGTTATTGATACGTCTGTATATATCAGTTTGGCATTGAGACTTTTTCCTTCCTATACCATATATGAAACCTTATTATAAAAAATGTGCATAGTTTCATATTTATCCGCCATGTTCACAGTTATTCTACAAAATATATACCATTCATTAAATATCAATTATGAATGGTATATATTTAAGGTTCTTTTTGAAACTGTGTTCTCACCAGCGCTTCTCCTTTTAAAGCTACTTCCCTTGAAGTTTGGGAAGATGATGTCCCTGAATAAAAGAATCTTGTTTCTGGGAATCCAATTGCAGACAGATGCAGATGCTTAAATCTCTTCTCCTTGAAATCATATCCTACAACCCACACAGTAGTTGAATAAGTTTATTAAGACCTTGACACTCCTTTCCTTGCACAGGAACTCACTTAGCATCTCCATTAAAAATACAAATCGAGAGACGGACAAGCAAAAAATTAAAGAATTGCTGATCATTGCCAATTATTAGGAGCTGATTCCTTCCTATTTAGGTGCGCTACAAATCTGGAACTAAACATTCTTCCAGATATTCCTATTTAGGCGCGCTACAATTATGGAAGTAAATATTCTTCCAGATATTTTCCACCATTGACAGCCATTAAAAAGCTTGAAAGCTTTGAATTCAAATTTGGATTTTCAAAAATTATTATTTGTTTGGATTGGGTGTTGTTGAAATTCGGGAATATGATTTGGAGTTTATATCTCAAATTTGAGGGGTTTTGGTGAAGATTAGACTTGGTTTTGACTGAATTGCAGATTGAAGCTCGAAGAAGAAGAAGAAGAAGAAGAAGAAGAAGAAGAAGAAGACATATTGCAGAAATTGTAGATAAATTGTAGATTATTTGTATTCTGATTGTAGATGCTTTATTTTCTGTTTTCACAAATAAAAAACGGCTAAAACTTCTAACAATCTTCTGAAAACCACAATTATGTCAGCAGAAGATGCTGAAGTTATTTTGTTCATTTGTAAAAACTTCAGCACTATATAAGCTGAAGTTTTTGAAAAAACTTTCTAACATACTAGATAAATAATCACCTTGTTCTTTCATAGTGTATTACTACTATAAAATAATCAGATTGCCAACAATATCTAAATAATAAATTCTGGAAACAATAAACGTGAAAAGAACATAATTACGTGGAAATATTCACAAATTATTGTTTATTACCTTACGTAATTATTTATAATTTGTTTTTGAACAATCTGGTAAATATACTTATGGCAATCATCCCATGAACTGAAGTTTCATAGCAGCACCAACATCAGCAGAAGAAAGAAGAAGAAGAAGAAGAAGAAAACGAAGGAGGAGAATGAGGAGGACAAAGAGGGCTGGAGTTATTTAAAAAATGGGTACAAATTAAAACTTAAAAAAAAAATGGGTATAAATTAAACTCCATTCCCTCCTCTGTTTCTCAATATTTACTCCTACGCCTAGAAAGATATTAATCATTATTCCTCTTGGATTATATTGGGCCACGTAAAAAGTGTGACAGTTTTTTGCTTCAATAGCATACTGTTATTTCAAACAATTTGTTTACCCTGGAATCCGGATAACAATTGAATTTATATGGGGTTTTAAGGATCCGTGAACTAAAAGATACAAAAGGTTTTTAGGTTAAGGAAAATAAAGATAAAGACTCAACAATTGCTGTTAAAGTAAATAATCGCAGAATATAATATTGCTTAGAACAATTGTGCTTGATGATCCACAAGAATTTAGAGAGATCCCCTTTTATACATTCTGTTTAAGGGTAAAAATAAGGTAGGTCAATTGATTACATCGTGGATCCCTGTAATTACGCCTTAATGGCCTGAAGTGGTTGAGAAAATCACGTTTGGGCGAGATATCCGGCGACGCTTGGTTATCCGTTACGAGTCCGGCTTCCAACCTTGTGTGTTTCTCCATCCGGTGGTGACTCCTATCGAGCTCTGTAACGGTCTCGAAATGACTCGACCTCGGTTGTAGACGTGGCCGTCGTTCTACCTTGCATCCAGGTCGGGTTCGATGGCCCCGATTTGCTCCGGACCGGACCCAACCCGGTCGGGCTCAAGCAAAAAAAGGTATCACCTAATACACAATTCAAACTAACTCAACTTATAAACTAGTCAACGAATATTCACTTCGAATGCATGGGTACAAGTTTTGTTTACTTCGAAAATACGAGTAACAACTAAATTTGATTTGTGATTTTAAAGATACGTGATTAGATTCAATACCAATTAATAATCAAGAAATATGAAATAGAAATAAAAGAAATAAGTGAATCAAACCAATATAACTCAGCAGCAGTGACCTCGAGCTTAGTGACCTCGAGGTGGGTTTAGAGCAATAAGAATAATTAAGCAAGAAAAGTAAAGTAAGAGCAGTATAGCTAGGGGACAATTCTGATAAACAGTAGGCAAAAAGCAGAGAATATATTCTTTTCTCAATGATTAGATGTCCCTTACAAATGATTGAGGTCCCCTTTATATAATAGGAGAACCCTAAAAAAGGTATATTTCTATTTACAGTAAGGAATATTCTTGGTACAACTGTCTAACCGCCTAGTACGGAATCGTACAATCCTATTTCGGGATTTGCGCCATGATTTAGGGGACGTGGCAGGAATCTAGCTCATTCTGTTGTAAATCCATAACGGTACTATTTCGGATTCGAGCATACTCAGCCTTGATACTCCTCGTACTCCTATCTCTCGAGCATTGCACTCTGTCTCCGAGCTTGAATCTGGTCCACCAGGCTCGAACTCGACCTCGCCCGGACTTGGGCCTAAAAGGACCCTCGAGCCTATGTTTCGGAGCTTTGTTTTAAAAACTATTACGTACTTATCCTGACATATTAACTAAAGATAAAAATAATAATATTCATTTGGAAATGTAGAGAATATTATTCTATATTTATTTTAAATGTAGCGAATGACTTTTCTAACGTGGACTTTCATTTTATAACTATTGGAAGTTCTTCTCCACATATTTTTGTAGAATAAATCGTTCACATTATTAACTAATAAACTCTCGAAATTTGATAAATTGAAGGCACAAGTTGGGCTCAATTTTTGTGATCTTTACACCAATGCCGGCCATAATCATTGTTTAGTTTTTCTAATCATATACATAGTTTATACATTAATTATATACATGCAATACATAAATTATGTATAAATTATACCTCCATAATCTATTTTTAATTTAAGCGGTCCGGTGGACGGCTATTTAGGTTAGTTCTTGTAAATATTTTGAGAAGAATAGAGTGTAAAAATTGCACGGGGCGCCCTATTTGGTCGCCCCATTTAACCTGTACCCATTTTTTTTTTAAAAAAGTTTTAACTTGTACCCACTTTTTAAACAACTTCAGCCCCCTTTCTCCTCCTCCTTCGTTTTCTTGTTCTTCTTCTTCTTTCTTCTGCTGCTGTTAGTGCTGTTATGAAACTTCAGTTCATGGGATGATTGCCATAAGTATGTTTATCAGATTATTTAAAAATAAATTATAAATAATTACGTAAGGTAGTAGACAATAATTTGTGAATATTTTCATAATTATGTTCTTTTCACATTTATTGTTTCCAAAATTTATGATTTAGACATTGTTGGCAATCTGATTATTTTATAGTAGTAATATACTATGAAAGAATAAGGTGATTATTTATCTAGTATGTTAGAAAGTTTTTTCAAAAACTTCAGCTTATATAATGCTGAAGTTTTTCCAAATGAACTAAATAACTTCAGCATCTTCTGCTGAAGTTTTTCCAAATGAACTAAATAACTTCAGCATCTTCTGCTGAAGTTTTTGAAAAAGCTTATCGAGGACAAAAAAACTTCAGCTTATTTAGTGTTGAAGTTTTTACAAATGAACTAAATAACTTCAGCATCTTTTGCTGAAGTTTTTGAAAATTTTTTATGACAAAACTAATGAATCCATGACAAAAAAACTTCACCTATTTTAGTGCTGAAGTTTTTACAAATAAACTAAATAACTTCAACATCTTCTGCTTAAGTTTTTGAAAAAGTTTTATGACAAAACTAATGAATCCAGGACAAAAAAACTTCAGCTATTTTAGTGTTGAAGTTTTTACAAATGAACTAAATAACTTCAGCATCTTATCCAGGACAAAAAAACTTCAGCGTATTGCCTTTGCTACTTAAGGCCCGTCTACTAGAATGCTGAAGTTTTGCGTGATTGCCTTTGCTACTTCAGGCCCGTATGCTGAAGTTATGCGAAAAAGTGGGTACGTTTGCAAATTTTTTTGTAAAGCTGGCACAAGTTAAAACGTGACCCAAAAACGGCTACAGATACAAATACCCCGAATAGAGTAGAAGTAGGCCTGGGCTATGGAAAATGGGCCTATCCCAAGTAGTGGCCTATGTGTAGAATCGTGGCCCATCTGGAATATTGAAGGAAATTGTGGTCGTTTCTATCTTGTGAAGAATGGGATTGATGTGTTTAGAAGCAGTAGGAATCATAGCTTGCGTGATAGGCAATGCTCAGTATTTCATCCACAAAGCAGCCCATGGTAGGGTAGTGTACCCCTCTTTCTTTTTCTATATATTTTCTTGCTTGTTTTATGTTATAGTCGAATTCGGAATTGAGGCGTAATTAATTGATTTATGTTAATTTTTTAAATGACCCAATTTTGTATTATTTGATTTGGCCATTGGAAATGACGTATGGGATAAGAAGATTATGGAGATGCTATCTGATCCTTCATCTGCACCTTCTAATTAGGTACTTCCATTTTCGTTTCGTTCCCCTTTCTTTTTCACTTTTTTTTTTGCGACTTTCATCAAGTTAAGAATTCTATTTTTCTCTATTGTTAATTGGCCATGGAGTCTGTTGATTTTGTTAAAATTTATATTCGACTCCGAGCTTTGATAATGGTATTTCAAACATTTGCTTGTCTTCTACTTTTGCACCTTTCAGGTAATCGTTTAGAATTTTAGATTAATGCACCAATCTGCGATTTGATATATATTTGGAATGCGTTATGTTCTATCTCCTGCCAGCTGATCTGGACTTCTCATTCACCCATTCCTATAGATTCTTTTTTGTTGATAAAACGGATGGTTTTAAATTATGAAGCTACTTAGCTCAATTCAAATGCTATGAATTATAGGAGAGTGGGCGTGTAAATTCCAAATCTCAAGTAAGCAGCTCTGGTTTGTATAATTCAGCTTTTAAACATGATGATGAGATGGTTTGAAATTATGCAGCTATTTGGACAGTGGTTTGAGTTTTGAAGAACAGTGAAAAATAGATAGCTAGTTGACCGGAAAATATATTGGGCACCACCTAGTGGTATCATAAATGGAGTAGCTGCAGACTGCATCGCTGGAAAGACGATGGAGTGAGGACTGAGGAGGCAGAAAAAGGATCTTGCATATTACGGTCTCAACAATCATTTCTCTGTTCTCGTTGAATATAAGTAAGCAGGGCATGTTATGTTGAGGAAGAGGCAAACCCGAAAATAAAGAAGATAAAGAACACCAAATTTTAACGTGGAAAACCCTTCAAATCGAAGGTAAAAACCACGGGATCACAAAGACCCAAAAAGCTCCACTATAACAATAAGAGGGTTACAAAAGTTCTCCAAATTGGCTACACAACAAGGGCCAAACACGGAGCAACAATAGCAACAAGAGCAACAACTAATCAATTGAAGAAAGAACATAATTCACAAAAACGAAGCTGCTGTTTGAGGCTCGAAATCAGATGCTACGAGCCTCAAAATCCGATCTCCACCGTTCAAATCCAAGACCAAGATGTTACGAACACTCAGTCAAAATTTCAGCCCGATCCAACGGTTAACGAATCGGAAAACGTGATCTGAAGTTGGCTGGTCGGAATAAAAATCTGCAGCAAAACAAATACTTTTCTTCTCTCTTCTCTCTTGATGAAAGCTCTCTCAGAAACCACTCTTACGTGCTTAAGTCTTTCAAAGACTTGTATCAATGAGCATAAATAATTCTCCAAGGTTGTCCTATTTATAGATCATGAGTGGTGCTTTCTCTTAAAGCCAAAACCCACTCAAAATAGGAATAAACACCGAATCCAATTCCGAATAGGAATGGAAACCAAAAGAGAATAGGATTAGACCATTGGGTCTTTGGCTGGACAACATGGGCATGAGCCCAACAAACTCCCCCTCCAGCCAAGGGGCCAAATGTGTCTTCAAGTAGAGGAACTATTGACAGGCTTCATGCCTGCCAATTTTCTACAATACGCATGCTTATCTGCAAGCTTAATTACGAAGTCCTCAGGCTGCTCCATATAAATCTCATCATTTAAATCATCACGAAGAAAAGCAGTCTTGACATCCATCTGCTCAACCTCTAAATCTAAACTTGCGACTAAGCCTAGAACCACACGAATAGAAGACATCTTCACAACAGGGGAGAAAATTTCATCAAAGTCAACTCCCTCCTTGTGGCCAAAACCTTTAACAACTAACCTCGCCTTGTATCTAGGCGGAGAGGTATGGTTATCTTGTTTTATTCTGAATATCCATTTGTTAGATAAAGCTCTCTTACCTTTCGGCAATTTCACTAACTCATATGTGCCATTCTCATGGAGTGACTTCATCTCATCTTCCATCGCTTCGATCCAATGATCTTTGTGATTATCTTGCATGGCTTCATCATAATTCTCAGGTTCTCCCATGTCAGTCAAAAGTACGTACTCATCAGGAGGATAGCGCATGGATTTTTGCTTCTCCCTTGTAGATCTTCTAAGAGAGGTTTCAGGAGCATTCGAAGTAGTTACCTGTGCAGGAATTGGTTGCTGATCAACCACAACTTCATCAACTGGAGCATCCATAACATCTATACCATGATGATCATTTTGATCTTGATCACTATCTCCATCATTGTCTTGGGTTCCTTCATGTGCAATAGGAGCCTTAGCAATTGAAACTGGATCAATATCAACTAAGCTCTCATTACTCTAAGAATCTATCTTCTCAGCTTTGTCAATATCTTCAATAGTTTGGTCTTCAAAGAATATTGCATCACGACTTCTAATAAGTTTATTGTCAACTGGATCATAAAAACGATACCCAAACTCATCTTGACCATAACCGATAAAGATGCACTGCTTAGTTTTGACATCCAGTTTCGTTCTCTCATCTTTAGGAATATGCACACAAGCTTTACACCCAAAAACTCTCAGGTGATCATAAGAAACATCTTTGGCAAACCAAACTCTGTCTGGGACATCACCATCCAAAGCAACAGCAGGAGACAAAATGATCATAGGCAACAATGTTAAGTGCTTCCGCCCAAAATGTATTTGGAAATTTAGCCTCAGAAAGTAAGCATCTAACTCTCTCAACTAGAGTTCTATTCATCCTCTCTGCCAAACCGTTCAATTGAGGCGTCTTGGGCGGAGTTTTCTGATGACGAATTCCTTGTTCCTTGCAATAGTTATCAAAGGGACCACAATATTCACCACCATTGTCAGTGCGAATACATTTTAATTTCTTCCTCGTCTGTCTCTCAGCTAAGGCCTGAAATTCCTTAAACACGCCAAGTGCTTGATCTTTAGATTTCAAAGGATACACCCAGAGCTTACGAGAATGATCATCAATAAAGGTCACAAAGTAAAGTGCACCACCTTTTGACTTTACTTTAAAAGGACCACACAAATCAGAGTGTACTAGCTCCAACAAATCGGGCTTTCTTGAGGGAGGATGACTATGAAAGGAAACCGTTTTCTGTTTGCCAGCTAAACAATGGATACACCTTTTCAGCTTTGCTTGTTTCAATCCAGAAAGCAAACTTTTCTTAGCCAAACACGTAATCCCCCTATCGCTCATATGACTCAATCTTCTGTGCCACAATTCTGATACCACCTTGTTAGGACCGAAAAAGTCAGGTGTCATGCGGAAGCTAGCAAAGCAAACCTTGAACAACCATAAATCAGGCAACAAAAGAGAAATCTAGCAAAAGAGACACAAACATTTAACGTGGTTCGGTCAACTGACCTACGTCCACAACAGAGACGAGCAATCCACTATAATAAAAAGAGAGTACAAAATATCGAGAGAACAACCTCACGAAGAGGTAAACACAAGTGACACACTAACACTTGTCCCGTAAAGTTCTCCCCCTAAACACGACTCTCAAGACCCCTATGGCTACATTGTGGATGCTACTGAATGTGAAGGAAGGATCCTCAGTTTATAGAAGTCCAAACCTTTTCCTACAAGAAAAAGGACTAGCCAAATATTGGAGATTTATAATTTCCTTTTACAAAAAGGAAAACCCAGTTAAGGTAATTATATTGCCCTTTTCCTTCAAGAGATAGGAAAACCAAATATGGTAAGAAAATTATGGCAAACACCTAACAATTCTCCCCTTTGGCCTGAATTTTCTGATAAAATAAACTTGATCCACCTTCTTCACATAGCCTTCAACAGGTCGCATCTCCAGATCTCCGCCACAAAGTTTGTCTCAACGTGCATAGTACTCCGGTCAAATTTCTCAGACAAAAAATCACGATTATCGTCAAATATGTTGCAGCTAGAACTGAACACGCCAAGATGAACCTGTCTTGAACCTCGCTCGAAGCTGGCTCTGATACCACTTGTTAGGACCGAAAAAATCAGGTGTCATGCGGAAGCTAGCAAAGCAAACCTTGAACGACGATAATCATACAACAAAGAGAAATCTACCAAAAGAGACACAAACATTTAACGTGGTTCGGTCAACTGACCTACGTCCACAACGGAGATGAGCAATCCACTATAATAAAAAGAGAGTACAAAATATCGAGAGAACAACCTCACGAAGAGGCAAACACAAGTGACACACTAACACTTGTCCCGTAAAGTTCTCCCCCTAAACACGACTCTCAAGCCCCCTATGGCTACATTGTGGATGCTACTGAATGTGAAGGAAGGATCCTCAATTTATAGAAGTCCAAACCTTTTCCTACAAGAAAAAGGACTAGCCAAATATTGGAGATTTATAATTTCCTTTTACAAAAAGGAAAACCCAGTTAAGGTAATTATATTGCCCTTTTCCTTCAAGAGATAGGAAAACCAAATATGGTAAGAAAATTATGGCAAACACCTAACAATTCTCCCCCTTGGCCTGAATTTTCTGACAAAATAAACTTATCCACCTTCTTCACATAGCCTTCAACAGGTCGCATCTCCAGATCTCCGCCACAAAGTTTGTCTCAACGTGCGTAGTACTCCGGTCAAATTTTTCAGACAAAAAAATCACAATTATCGTCAAATATGTTGCAGCTAGAACTGAACACGCCAAGATGAACTTGTCTTGAACCTCGCTCGAAGCTGGCTCTGATACCACTTGTTAGGACCGAAAAAGTCAGGTGTCATGCGGAAGCTAGCAAAGCAAACCTTGAACAACCATAAATCAGACAACAAAAGAGAAATCTACCACAAGAGACACAAACATTTAACGTGGTTCGGTCAACTGATCTACGTCCACAATGGAGATGAGCAATCCACTATAATAAAAAGAGAGTACAAAATATCAAGAGAACAANGGGACAAGTGTTAGTGTGTCACTTGTCCCGTAAAGTTCTCCCCCTAAACACGACTCTCAAGACCCCTATGGCTACATTGTGGATGCTACTGAATGTGAAGGAAGGATCCTCAATTTATAGAAGTCCAAACCTTTTCCTACAAGAAAAAGGACTAGCCAAATATTGGAGATTTATAATTTCCTTTTACAAAAAGGAAAACCCAGTTAAGGTAATTATATTGCCCTTTTTCTTCTAGAGATAGGAAAACCAAATATGGTAAGAAAATTATGGCAAACACCTAACAGGGCACCACCTAGTGCCTCATCCTGAATCTACAATACGAACTCTTCAGGAAAAGCAGTGTTTACCCAATTTTGAACCAACCCTATTAAGCAGCTGCTATTTAGCAATGCCTTGCATGGGCACCTTTATATTCATTAAAAAGAATGGTTTTTCACAAAACCATTTCTAATTTTCTTGAGAAGGGGAAGCAAGCAACCTAGGATCCTTTATCATTTACAAACGATAATTACGAATCATTGAGCAGCTAGCTGAGAGCATTAGAAGCCAGCCTAGGTACAATGAGATGAAAATACAGCATACTGCAGCAACCCTCATGCCAATTGCCATCACAGCCTGAAGTCCCTCGTGTACATATGGCTTGTACGCGGCTTTCTTCGATTTCCTTAAAGTTAGAGCTTCTTATATCATAACTAAGCATGAACAACTTGCATTGTTATGGGATCAACTTTTTTTATATGAGATTAAAATTGATCCCATAAGAATGCTAGTTCATGCTGGAAAACTACATAGGAGGCAGTTAGGGCAAAGCTTGAAAATTACATGGAAAGCCATGAAATATAAGAAAGCATTAGCTTTGGGGTTAGCACTACAGTTGATGTACCTTTTCTTTAACACAACACACTTGTTCGGGTTTCCAGGGAACCTGATGGGTTCCCTTTGACGATTTGGTGCTTTATTGCCAGTATTTTTTGGAAAATCAGTTATAAAATTCGAGAAATGAATTTGTGAGACAGTAGGACAGAAGCAGTGATCAGCCCTCGTGGTGTAGGGGTTTGGAAGTTTTTAGAAACCAACAGTCAAGTTTTTCCTCAATGGTGCAATCAGAATAGAGAATATAAGAATAGTCAACTTTTGGCACAACTTGTGGATAGGGCTTACTCCATGGAAAGCAAGAATGTTCTTACCTATTTAGTCTAGCAACCAACATTGAGGCTACATCATTACAAGTTGCAACAGACAATGGCTGGGAACTTAGGTTCAGAAGAGAGTGCTTTGACTATGCAATAGAAAGGTGGCCAGGAAGTAGATCGGGCATGCAGCTTAATAGTAAGTGAGGATACATTGATTTTGGATGCTAGTGGGAATTGAGTACAGGTACAACAGATTTTCAAGAAGTTATATTGTGGATCAAATGCTCCATATAAAGTATCATGCTTCTGCTGGTGATAGCTCACGATTCCTTTCTAACCAAGTCGAATTTGCAGAAAAGGGGAGTAATCATATGCAACAGGTGCTTCATTTGAAGCATGACATGGAGGATCAAACATTTATTCCTGCATTTCCAGTTACCAGGCAACTATGGGACCTGTCCTGATTTGTAAGCTAGTCGGGTCATAGTTGCAAAAAGGAGCTGAGAAAATTATTGAAGACTGTCCCTACTTGTGTGTGCTGGACTATTTGGGAGGGGAGAAACCAGAGGTGCATTGAAGGGAAATCATCCAATGTACATATGTTGAAGTATATGTGTTATTACAAATTTTAACCGCAACAGAGGAAATTGGTAGAGTTTATAGGCAATATCAGATGCAGCAGGTTTTTGTAGATGAAATACTCCGTCTGTACATGGGTATACCCCTGCAAAAAGGTTGGAAGTTGGTGAATAAAGCTAAAGAGGAAGGAGGTTCGGGTAGGTGGCTCAATGAAGATGGTGGCCTAAAGCTAAACTTTAATAAGAGGCCTTCCATCCAATACAATGAGGTTTAAGGAAAAAAAGTAAGAGGCCTTAATTTTTTGGTCAAAACAAAAACCTCATATATATATATAAAGCCCATTTTTCTAGCTTTTTGAGATGCAAAATTATGAGTAGTTATTTTGTATTATTGATTTCTTCTAAAATTTTTCTTTTATTTAATTTGAAAAACTCGTTTCAACTGAGGCAACTGGACAACTGTTATATGAATTGTTAACACTATTCTATAAACAACAAAGGCATTTGGAAAAGAATGAAGTTTTTCTATCTGATTGAGTATATTAATTAAAGTATATATTTTCCGCTTATAATATTTTCCCAAGAACTTTTCATTTGAAAAATAAGTCATAATGGCTATTTTATTTTAAAGAACGATCAAGGCTAACCAATTTTTGAGGGAAAAAATATATAATTTAAATAATAGAATCTGATTCAAGTTGATATCATTTATAGATGTAGATCTTGGACCTACGGATGGGGATATCAAAATAATCTTTCGCTGCTTAAATGTGCTTGTTGCAATGCTTGAAAAACTTTAAAGAAAAACAAGAAGAGAAAGGTAGGGAGATGTTTTCAGCACTCTAGTTTTTACGAATAGTACTCTCAAACTCAAAGAAAAAGAATATAAAAGGGTAAAAATAGCACGGTCTAGCCAGTTTTCGGACTGGTCATTCAAAAATAGCCAGCGTTTACCAAGTCAACGAAAAATAGCCACTATTTTGCTGCAATAGAGACCGGTCCAGCATAATATACTGGAGTTTGGTGCACCTGTGTATGAACTTCCAGCATATTATGCTGGAACTCCAACACACGGAAAGTTCCAGCATAATATACCGGAGATTCGAGCACTTGTGTATGAACTTCCAGCATATTATACTGGACCGGTATACTTTTCTGGAACTCCAGTATATTATGCTGGAGTTCTAGTGTACTTATGCTGGAACTCTATCATATTATGCTGGAGTTCCAGCATACTTATCTTGGAACTCCAGTATAATATGCTGGCTGGAACTCCAGCATAATATACTGGCGTATTTTTCGAGTTTTGAACAGTGCTTTTGCTCAGAGTTATCTTTACATGAAAAGTGGCTAAATTTCGATTACTTTTGAAACTGGGCTATTTTTGAACGACCACTTATAAATCTGGCTATTTTTGAATTTCTCCCTGTAAAAGTATAATACACATTCTTTGAAGAGAACGCTAAAGGATAAAAATAATGTGGGCCCATTTAAGAGGTTAGCTGTCAAATGTAAATGAGGCAAGAAAATATTTGCATGTAAAGTCATTACTAAAATGACACATTTACCGAAAGGATGGTTTCATTTTTCTTTTAATGAAAAATTGCACTTTCTCCTTAGAAACACTCAACATTTTTTCGAAAAATCAACAAATATACATATTACTAAAATAAATGTGGCCCCACGAATATGAGGCCTAAAGCAGTTGCTTGGGCTGCTTCACCCTTCAGCCGCCTCTGAGTTAAGTTGGTGTGTTCCTTGGCTGGATTGTCTACGGCATTTCCGGTTAGATCCAAAGTCCTTTTGGGATAAAGTGATGCAAAAGCAAAGTCAGAATAGTTGGATGCTTCTTTAGCTTAATGCATCTGCTGATGCTCTCTCTTGTACTTTATTTTAGTAAGATGAACTTTGTAGATTTGCAGCTCATTCAATTATTGGATCTAGTCGAGAAGGTCTTTTGCAGGCTGGAGAATAATGTGTAAAAGCTTCAGAGAAATCGTCAATTAATTTGCCCCTTTTACTTGTACTCTGTTTACATTTTGTGAAAGTCTTTGGTGGATTAGGGCGGAACTCGTAAACCTACATACTTCATTAGCTTGTTCACGAATAAATTAGAGATCAGTGAAGTTGAGCGTGTCTGATGCAAACTCTTGTTTTCTGGTTTAAGCGGGGCAAGATTCCCATCTTACGTAATTGGAATATAAAGCCAAAAGGAAGCCGCGACTGCCATGACATGGCTCCAAGGTCTTGCATAGTGAAGTCCCTTGCATTGCTGTGTTTGAGAGAGCAACAGATAGCGATGGTAGGCTTTGGTAGCGGAGCAAGACTATTGCCTTTATTTGACATTCTACCTTTTTATTTGTGCTTTATGCTGTATTCTGGGGACTATGGATCTCATTGTTCTTGTTGTGTTCCCATTCAACTCTATTATATCAGTTTCAAGTATCTTTTTTCTGTTTATCAGAGTTTCAAGCTTCACAATTTCAGAGTTTTCCTTCTAAAAGCCTGGATTGGTATTTACTCAGCCACATTGCTGGAAACTGCGTGGTCATAATGTGTCCTTTTGGACAAAAAGCTGATAATCCATGTGTACTGACATTTTGTGGCTACCTTTTTCCCTTGCACTAAAGACTTTAACCCTATAAGCCCCTAACCCTCCATTTTTAAGTTGGTTTGTAAACTAAATCCACTGTATAAGTAGAATGAAGCAGCTAGATTGACCAAGGACAAAGACAGATTTATAATCTGCTGATGCATGTAAACTTCAAGTTTTCTCCACGACAATAAAAAACATGCTTGGCCAGAAGGTTCCTTTTTCTTATGGCTGAAAAATGTTTAGCTAGCATGAAGGTTGAATAGGTTTATGTGGCAATACTGTTGTAGGGTGTATCAGAAGTTCTACTCACAGTGTATTTTTTCTTGTGATGATGCAGGCGCCTATGAAATTCAGGACCTGTGGGAATAAGGAAAATGTCTTAAACTTCTCCTTGGGTGAACTCATGTTGGGAGGACTTTCCATCAGTTTTCTTCCTTCACTTGATGGTTTGTCTGCGGCCGATGAACCTTAAACGTTAAGGTTAATTGAATTTCCCAGAAAAATAACAGAACAGCGTTGAGCTAAAAGATTGTTGTAGAAATTAATATTTTTGGCCTGGTATGCTTGGTAATTTGGTGAGGTTTTGGTTTTTAGTTGGACTTGATAAGATTATGGCAAACCATATTACTGAAGGTCCTGAACTGCTACTTAACATCAGTTTCTGTTTAAATGCGTCAGTAGAAATTGAAGTGAAAGTCGGCCCCTGTAGAGGGTTATAGAATGGTGTTTGAAAGCTTGCTCGTACATTTCTACCTACTAGTTTTAGGGTACGCGCTTTGCGCGTGTATCCTATATTCATGAATATACAATTTTGAAGAAAAAAAAAATCTCTGTCTATCTTACATATCTATATGATATGATATGTTTGAGTTGTAAATAAGAACTTAAAAAGGTAATCAGTCTCATATAAGTTCTCGAATGCCTTATTATTGTTGTTTTCTCGTAGTTTTTCCGCCGTTGAGTTAATATTTTACAAGAAATAATGTATAAAAAATATGGAGAATTGCCATTCTTTAGAATGAATGAAGAAAAAATACAACTCATTTAGAATACATTTGTCTTGTACTGTTTCATCCTTATCGCTTCAAATTTGCACTTCACCAATTTGATATAATCGATTTTGCTCTATCTCCAATTTCATTTTTTGCCAATGTTTTGTTGTAGAAATAAAATTTTGTACCATATGAGTTTTATCAACTTGAATAATAAGTTTTCATATACGGATAGTTTTAAAAGAAGTAAATTGATTTTTTTATATAAGTTAATTATTTTTAAATTTTTTTTATGTTTATTCAAATTCTTAGTATTAACTCATCCAAAATTTTAAATATTTAAATGTAATTATAATTTAATCCAATAAAAATATATTTTCAAAGGATAAAATATCCATCTAATATTTTACTTTGGGCCGTTGTATATGCAGAATCGTTAGTGTTATTGACGCTTATCAACCACGTCTCTCTATCACTCGTTAAACTCTGAAATATTTTTATTATAAGTTCAAGATTATTAGTGATAATAAATTTCTCATGTAACTTTAGAGTTATGTTAGTTAATACTCTTTTTGGACAAATCTTCTTATTCCTTATTTTCTTTCTTGAGTTTGGGGAGGATACACTTTTAAAGACATTAAGGTTTAACTTTTATCACTAAAATTAGGGAATGGACTAATTTCATCAACAAACAATAATAAAGAACATTCATAAGCATTATGAAATTAGAAGAGAAAGAGAAAAATTGAGTAGTTGGTATAATTGGGGCAACTTGGTAAGTAGTATATTTTAAAAACATTCATAAAGCTCAAAATATTGGGCTAGAGATTATATATATTTTGAGTTATATTAGGAATTTTTACCTAGTTGAAATGACGAATGTCCGGTAGACTTGAACCTTGTTCCTACATGGCCTTCGATCATTAATCAAAATATTTTAAAATTTTAAACTCTTACATATTAGGAAAATAACCTAAATAACAATTCAGTCCAACGTGAAAGCAATATTTAAAAGGTAAAATGGCGAACGACGAATATCCAAACAATAAGTTCTTACTATTCTTTGTTGACTTTGTCGTTTTTGGTTTTCTTGTTCGTCATTCTATTCAAATTCATTTACCTCATTTGAACTGATGATATAATAATTTTGATTGAATGTTTTAACCAAAGCAGAAGACAATATATCTTAATATTCTCGGTCATTATTTGATTCAAAGAAAAACTATTACAACGACTGCAACTTAGTTCGGTGATATTCAATATTCACAATTTTATTAGATCTTGATAATTAAGAATTTGATTTAAAATTTTGTTTTTCTTCTTTGGTATGAGTTTGAATAAAGATTTATTTTATGCAATATTAATAAGAAACTAATTTATATAATTTAAAATTTTATTCAATTTTTAATTCCTAAATATTAGAACTTCCTCCAAATAATTCATATAATTAAAGATTAATAGCAAGAATTTTGCTAATTTTGAAGTTTTAATATTAAAAATATAATTAAATGATAATAATTATTAATCTAAACATAAAATATAGTTTACGTGTTAATCCATC